GCTCCACTATGGCTGTTTTTTCCTGCCAGCACTCACACCAAGGCAATAACTTGGTTCCGAGTTATTTGCTGTACAAATTTAAAGCCACAACACAAGAAGAGAGAGTAAACCCAAGGGAAAGGACCCTTCACCAACCCGTGTACCCTAATGGCACCTGAAAACATGGAAAAAGGAAGTTGATCCAAGGACTATACAACTTGACCAAAACTCTCACTGAGATGTCAAATGAGAGAGAATGAGAATATTAAAGTACATGACCAATCACCAAATACAAGTAATTTGAATTGGGGAACCTGTTTGGTTTTGACCCATGAAATGGTAATGACTTTGGAAACCTTATCACTGGAAGGCAAGCACAAGGAATCAGTTTGGGATTTATACGTTCTGTCAAAGACCCTATTGTATATGATGAAGAGAAAGAGGTGAATGTCTTTTATACTGCATTCGCAGGCACAAGGAAACGATTTAAATGGTCTATAAAAGAAAACCAATATTCCCGAGTGGCATTTTTAAAAATAAGATTTAATACAAAAGTGTGCCTGGAAATCTGATAGAATAATTTTTAAGCCTTTATGGGCTCTCCTCTTTACAAAAATACTTAACTTAGCATTGGAGAATTGTGTTGGTCTGCCCAGGAGAGCAAAGACTTAGAGCTATACAGTAATTATAGTGTCAGTCCACGCTGTGATAGTGTAAATCAACTCTTTCGCCAATATGCTCTCTGACTCCTGGACCATTGCAACATGATGACAAACTACTGGCAGGGACAGGACATTCAGCCCTTCAATCATCATATCACTTCCTTAGACCCAGAGACCTGGCAAGGTTGGGCCATCCCAAGTAAGGTGCTGTTTAAACAACGCCTAAATAGTCTGCTTTGGTTGTGTGGGTAATCTCAAACTCGACAGAAGAGCATGTCCAGAGGTGTCTTCCTGAGAGATACTGCACGTCTAACCTCTGATCAGTAGTGAGTCAGAGTGGAAGGAGTGTGGGCTCTGGGGTCAATCTGGTCCAAGTTTGAATCCCAGTGCATTGATTTACCAGTTGGGTAGAAATGACAAAATTTTAACATCTATGAGCCTTAGTTTTCTGCATCTATAGAATGGGAACAACAACAAGATTTTCCTTGTGTATACTTGACTGAAGAGAGACAATAAGCATATGAAGCACCTGGCACATTGTAGACACCTGATAAACTGTCACTACCAATATTGCTCTTCTGTTGTTGGCCTTCTCTGGGTTTCTATGGCCACGTACCAACCTAAAAGCAGTGAAAGAATGAGTTTGATTAGGAGGGTTGTGCTATAATTAGATAGCCAAGGCTAAGCCTGCCCTTGGTGTTGACTTACTGTGTGATCTTGGGCAACTCACTTAACATTTCTAAGCCTCATTACATATCTAATAAGATTAATAATAGAATCTCACACGATATCGTGAGGGCCAAATAGAAGGGACGATATGAAGGGTTTAGCACAGTTAAGTGCTTCCTAGGTTTAATTGCTATTGTTTATAACAGTGATATCAGCCCTTAATCACAATCACAGTCTCTTATTGTATTTATTTACCTACCTTGTCTAAACAATGAAATTGTAAACTTCTTGAGGGAGATATCAATGTCTAATTCATCTTTGTACCCCCAGTGCCTTTCAAGTGCCTGGCACCAGCTAGGTCCTCAATAACTATTAGTTGAGTGAGTAAATGAATGACTAAATGGATGAATCAATACATATGGGAGAAAGCTTCTGAAAGATGTTTTATACTTTGTTGTAGAGGTGCTTTATGGCACAAATGAAGCAAATTTGAGCCCATCGTAAAGCTGGAACACATCATTCAAGCAAAGATAGCATGGAATTCGTGAACAGATATGTTTCAACTTTGCATATTTTGGTCTTAGATAAACAGTAGGCATTTAGTAAATACCTTCTGAGTCAGTGGTAGGTACTCAATAACTATTTCCTGAGTGAAAAAGTACTCACTCATGATGCTGCCACAATTATCCTCCAAGAACTAAACAAACAAATAAAAATTAAAAAAAAAAAAAAACAACAAACATAAAAAAAACTGTCTCCTCCATTAAAAATGAAAGCAATGGGGCTAGCAACCAATTTCCAGATAGGCCACTCCAAACCAGCCAGTACCTCTTGACCTCAACCGGAAACGTCTTCTCCAATCTCAATTTAAAATGACTGGTTCAGTGCCAGGCCTACGTACCCTTCCTACCCATATGCAGAATGGGCAAGGGGCAGAAAGAACAAATGTGAAATTTCCTTGAATAGGTGTTTCTGACGCAGGTAGTTTGCACTGCACCATTTGAACAGTTTCACTGTGTTTTTATGTCTCTTTTCTCTTCCATTCTCTGAACAACCCCACTTTACAGAAGGCTGAGAGGATATAACAACTTATCCAAAGACAAACAGCCCCTGGGGAGACCCAGTATCTTGCACCAGAATCGCTTGGTGAACTTGTGAGCAATGCAAATTTCACAACCCTCAAGCCTATGGATTCAGACTCTCTGGGGACAGAAAAGGAACCTGCGTATTTAACACGCCAAGCGATTCTTACTTTAAAGCTTGAGTACCTTTGGAGTAAGGTATTTGATTTCATGCTTTGGAGGGTCAGGGTAACAGAAAGTTTTCCAAATACCCTTGTCCTAAATCATTGGCCTCACCATTTTTATCCACAATTTGTTGCCACTCTGATGATACATCAGGCATTAGGCTGAGTGATAGGGATGCAGGATATAAGGTACCATGCCTGCTCTACAGGAGTGCATTTTCCAGAAAAAAGAAGGACTAAGCCACTGTTATGTATTGTAGTGTACAACACACTATGTATTAGCCATGTGGGCCATGACAGCAGGAAGAGGTTCTGGAAAGATTCTTTGGGATTATAGAGCCCCAGAATGTCAATGTTAGAGCTTCTTGCTTGTACATTAGGCGTTATTTACAAAAAGTTCCTGTTAAAAAGCAATTACCTTACTGGGAGGCATAGCAAATGAACAGTAAGCAGTCATTAACTCCATAAGTGGAATTCGACTCTGATATACCTAATGTCCCTCACAGATAAGAACAGGGCCACCAGGGGAGGAATGGAGTGTTTATAAGGAGAGGGGAGGCTCTAAGACAATGGCAGAGGTGTCTGGATGGAGAGGCAAGAGCAGAAAGAGGTCTCTGAAAGGGAAACCAGGAACCTAGAAAGAGGAAAAGCAAAAGGTGATCCATTTTAGGTGCCATGCAAGAAGGGCCCTGGAGTCTGTTAGACCAGAGACCAGAGATGAGAAATTCCCCAGATAACTTCCACATGCCAGGTTCTGACATCAAATGGCAAAAAAGCAATTAATTGGGAGATTCTTGAGTGCTGCACTATGGACCAGGCAGCTCCAAGCTTTTCTTTAGACTGACCTCCTGGGAGATCAGAAGCAATCACTTCTGTCCTGCAAAGTCCCAGCTGGAGCCCTTGCCTTGGGACCAATGGACTTGGGTGCTCCCAACAGTCTATTCCCACAGGTGCTGGCTGTGGTGCCTACTCTCACTGAAGCCCAACTCTTATGGGAAACTCACCCTGATAATTCTCTTTTAACATGTTCTTACAATATCCTTTGGGCGAAGTTTCATCATTACAGTTTTTCATTTTCCTAAGAAGGAAACTAAATCCCAGAAAAAAAAAATTAGTTTATTTAAGATCAGTCAGGATGAGCCTGCCCAAGTTTTTACTCTCAAGTCAAAGCAAAGCAAATTCTTATTCATTCTCCAAGTCTTAAATAAAATGTCACATCTTCAGGGAGAGGTTTCTTAATGCCTTAGACTGGGTCAAATCTCCCTCCTCTAGATTCTCAAATACCATCCTCGCCTTTCAAAATGCTCATTCATTATTGAAAATTTTTATTGAGCATCTACTTATGCCAGGCACTGTACATGGTACTAAGGCATCAATAGTAAGCAAGATAGATAAAACATCTGCCCCTTTTTTGGTGTAATTATCATTCCTAACATATAGGGCTGTGGTGAGGATCAAATTAGGTAATTCACTAAAGTTCTTAGAATTCTGCATGGCGCAAAGGAAGTGCTATTCAATTACTTAGATAACTGCTAAGTATCTAACTCCCTTGCAAGACTCTAAGTGGCAGGAGGGTAGAACTTTAACTTTTCTCTGCTGAATCCTGAGTGTGAGGTTCCCTACCTGGTGCATAATAGGAGTCCAATAAGTATGTGCTGGATTGAATTGAGTTGAACTGAACAACGAGAATTCTGACATAATTTCCATTGCTCTCACTACACTCTCCAGCCAGTGTGTAAAATTCACAGCTTGGCACATTCTGATCTGGAATAAAAAGGAATTTCTTTTTGGTTAGTTCATTCATCCATTCATACAATATAATATTTTTAGCAGCTATTAAACACTAGGCATGCTTCTAGATGTTGGAGATAGACCAGTAAATAATATATTGAGGTTTAGTTTATTGAATTTATATTCTAGAAGGAGGAGGTAGAAAATAAACAAGTAAATATTTCATCAACAAGGTTATTTCAGATGGTGAAAAGTAGAATAATGATTCAACAATTCCACTTCTGGGTATTTATCCGAAGAAAATAAAAACATTAACCCTGAAAGATATCTGCACTCCCATGTTCATTGCAGCATTATTTACAATAGCCAAGATATAGAAACAACCTAAGTGTCCATTAATGGATGAATGGATAAAGAAAATTAGGTATATATATACATATATATATATACACACAATGGATATTATTCTGCCATAAAAAGGAGGGAAATCTTACTATTTGTGACTACATGGATGGAACTTGAGGGCATTATGCTAAGTGAAATAAGTCAAACAGGGAAAGATACATACCGCATGATCTTACTTATATGTGGAACCTAAACAAACAAACCAACAAAAACCCCCAAGCTCATAGATACAGAGCACAGATTGGTGGTTGCCAGAGGCAGGGGTGGGGGGTGGGCAAAATAGGTGAAGGGAGTCATAAGGTACAAAATTCCAGTTATAAAATAAATAAGTCATGGAGATGTAACGTATAGCATGGTGACTATAGTTAATAATTATGTATTGCGTATTTGAAAGTAGCTAAGGGAGATCCTAAGATTTCTCATCATAAGAAAAAAAATGCATGGTGAATGCATAAGAAAACTATTCATGGTGATTTAACTAGACTTATTGTGCTGATCATTTTGCAATATATACAAATATTGGATCATCACGTTGTACACCTGAAATTAATATAATGTTATATGTCAAATATACTTCAATTAAAAAAAAAGGTAGAATGAAGAAAATAGAATCGGAGATGTAGTAGAGAGTAACTGCTTTGCTTGGATGCTCAGGGAAGGCTTCTCTGAGGAGGTGATATTTCAGCTGAACCCTAATGGACAAGTTGCTGACCAAGAAGTGATTTTGGTCCTTTCCTCCACCCCACTGCAGCCTGTAATTTACCTTCAGAGCAATTTCCTCTACTAATTTAATTAACTATTTAATTATTTTAAAATAATTTATTTAATGTGTGTTTCACGGCTTTATTATAAGTTTGGTGAGGGCACAGGTTGTGTTGTCTTACCGTTGCATCCCACAGATTTATATGAGAGGTCTTGATTCACTTTTTGATTGGCAGTCTGGACCGGTTGCTCAGCCAGCTCTCTTGGCACGTGACTAAAGCAAGTGAGAGGTGAGCAGCTATAGATAAGACTAAAGAGGACTTTGAAGACGGAGGACAGGCTCAATTTAGAGCAGATGCTGCCATGCAGCAAAGGAAGAAACACAAAACCTAGCCGGTTACAATGAAGATTTTGGCTCTTATTGAAAAAATCGTAGAGTGAAAAGCATAATAAAGCCAAGCACACTTTCCACCGAATTTTAAATACTAACTCTCATAGAACCTACAAAATGTAGGCAAATCCCTCCTCCTAATTTATAAAGAGATGTCAGAGCAAGTAGGCAAGATTTTATTTTTTAATTCTAAGCCATAGAAATATGACTTGATTTTAATAGATGATGATAACAATAGTAATTACAGCAACCACCACATCTGAGATCTTACTAGGTCCAGTCACTCTGCTAACCATTGTACCTAGAAGATCTCATTTAATCCTATTGAAATACTTATAATAAAGTCAATGTTATTATTTTATCTGTTTATACATGAGGAAATTTTAACAGAGATGTTTAAAAACTTGCCAAGTGGAGGAGCTAAGATTCCCATGCAGACTTCTCACTCCTACCCCCATGCTGCTTGGATGCTGTGCTGTTTCGTGGGCTGCATGACCTGGACCTTCTCTCCCCTGTAGTCCAGAGTAGGACGGAGCACCTACAATTAGACTAAACTTCTGCGTCTGCTTATTTGGAACTTGTGGGCATTTGATCAGGGCTGGTCAAGTTTACTTCTGACCTATTTGAGAGAAAGTGTTTGCTAATGACTAGAATGATCATGTCGGGAGAATCTAACCAAATCTACACACCTACCCATCAATGCCTCCAGGGAGTCAACATGCATTGAAGGTTTACTATTTCCAAGATGCAGTGCTAAGGACTGTGGGAGTAGAGGAATGTATAAGGCACAAAATGTAAAGGTGAATAGGGAGGTGAGATTAAAGAAATAAATGAAAAATATGAATATATTACAAATTACAGAAGGGCAATAAAGGAGTAATAGATAAAGCGCAGAGTAGGAAACTCTCATACTTAATCGGGACATTGGGTCAGATTCCAAGAAGACTTCCTGGAGGTGGTGGCATTTGAGATAGGTTTTGAAGGACAGGGAGAATTTGAATCTGTGGAAATGTAAGTGGGAAGAACATTCTGGTAGGAAGTAATAATTAGAGCAATAGTTTGAAGGTAGGGAATCTCAAGGATTATTTGAGGAATAGTGAGTACTTCTGTTTGTTACTCAGTCTACAGAACACCTTGTAAGTTGTCTCTTAACGCCACTTTGTAAACATGAAGATAATAATATTACATTTCCTTAAATTTTTACTATATAGTTATTCACCACTCAAATTTACTCTTTCCCTTGTTTACTCTAAATTAATGGAATTGTAAAACATATTTTAAATATATGAAGCAGGTTCCAACTTCTATGTTTGGGCTGTGCACTAAACAGCTCTCATTTGGAAATAGTGGACTTTAACCTCCCTTGTCCAAGCTGGACACAGAACAGCCCAGTTATCCAGTCTGTATAATGCCTCAAAGCCTTTGGAGGAAGAAAGCACTCCAAAATAAATCCAGAATGTATTTCCAATTCCTCGAAAGGAGTTGTCTCGTCTGCTTTCCTCCTGCACATCTCTGGGTTTTAATTAAACCATGAACAATTTGAAAATGAATCAATAGGCTGAGATAATAACAATATTTTTTTAAGGATATCTCTGACTATGATATCTATTTTGGCCTTATTCCTCAATATTAGGCAGTACTATTTCCTTTTGGATAGATGAGAACATTAGGAGATTTTAAGGCAACCCAGCGCAGGAATCCAGGTGGCAAGATCTTAGTTTTCTGACTGTTAGGCCACCCTTTAGAGATACAGGAAAAGGCATTTGAGTGATCAGGTTTAATGCCTTCTCTGGACACTTTTAACCCAACTTTTCCTTTGATTCTGAGAGGCCATAACGGTAAATCTTTCAGGAGGCAGCTGGGGAGAAAATGTTCTACCTGTTGTTCTTAAGGTACGGAGCAGAACTTGCTCATTCAGAGAAGATGTTCCCCAGGGAGTGCTACACCGCACACGCAGCCCGCAGAAGAGTTCTGTTTGGCCTGCAGAGTATTTTATTTTTTAATTCAAACTTAATTAAATAAGTGCCTCTACATCTGCAGAGATTTACACACTTTTGTTCCTCTCTGTTGTTTCAGTCTATAAGCTTTACTTTACAGCAGCGTTTCTTAACTTCAGCACTATTGACATTTGGGGCTGGATAATTCTTTGTTGTTGGTAAGAGTGGGGCTGGGGTGGGAGGGGTGAAGGATGGCGGGCTGTCCTATGTATTGTAGGAGGTTAAGCAGCATCCCTGGCCTCTACCCAGTAGATGCCAGTAGTACCCCCCAATGCACACACAGTCGTGACAATAAAAAATGTCTCCAGACACTGCTGAATATCCCGTGGGGGACAGAATTCCCCCCCCACACACACACATTGGAATCACTGCTTTACAACAATTCAACATCAGAGACCAGGGCTGGGGTAGTGGCTGCGTCAATTGTACATAAGGCAACATAATGTGAGCAAGTAATAAATTGATTAGAAGGAAGGAGAACTCAGTTCTAACTGTAATTCTTCATGTTTCAGTTTCCTCACCTCACTCTCCCACAGATCTGGTGTATAAATCCTATGAAACAATATTTGTAAAAGTGTTTTGAAAATTTAAAAATATAATGTTGTTGCTATTTGGTCTAACCTGGGTCTTTAGGCAACCATTAATACTGGCACATTGAAAAATGGCAGCTCTAAGCCGAGAACATACAACGGGGAAAAGAAAGTCTCTTCAACAAATGGTGTTGGGAAAGCTGGATAGCCACATGCAAAAAAATGAAAGTAGACCCTTACCTTACACCATACACAAAAATTAACTCCAAATGGATTAAAGACTTGAATGTAAGACCTGA